TCCGTGTGTCGTCGTCGGCACGTCCGCGCGGAGACGCGCGGGCCGGAGGGTGGGCGCCGACTTTCGGGACATTTAAGTGGGAAAAGGCAGCTCTCAAAGTGGATTATTCCAATTGCCCCGGGGGCGGGAAGCGGGGATCCTCCCCTAGCCGCAAATCCGCGAAGAAGACCACCAACGAAGAAGAAGATGACCTGGAGTCGCGGTCCTCGGGGTCCCCCTCCAACTGCTTCGGCTTCGTCGCCTATTCAGTGAACCCCGGAGAGAAACCGCGAGTCAGGATTAAGACCGCGAGCCACCAGCCTTCGTATTCCTGCTCGTCCGATCCCGACCGCTCTCCGACTCCCTCTCCCTCTCCATCTCCCTCGCCCAGAAAGCTCCGGTGCGTGGACCAGCCAGAGCCGGAGACCCACGAGAGGCGCGAACGCAACTCCAAAAGGAGAAGGGCTAAGGAGGGCAACCCCATCGACACAATTATGTGGTTGGGGTGAGTGAGGAGGCAGGGACGAGGACCCCGGTGCCTGAAGCAGCTGCAGAAACAGCTAAGAACTGCAAAATCCCATGCCATCCCGCCACCCCCGCCCCCACACACAAGATCTCGGCACGAGTTGATACAGTAGACTAGGCTGCTGACATCCAACTCGTCACGGAACCCAGCTGGCATCCCCGAAAAGAGCAGGAACCGAGGCTATTAAGGGAGAAAGCGTGGCTTACTGTCGGAGGTGTAGCGGTTTGGGGAGGACAGCTGGAGACGGGTTGTAACTTGCAGTGGGAGCTGAAAGGGTCAAGGGATTGCTCCTTCTAGCTTTTAAAGACAGGATGGATGTGGGGGGTGGGATCTGACACACCCCAGTCTGCTAGCGGGAATAGGCTATGGTAGTGGTTGTCTGCTAACACAACTCGACAGACAGCTTCTTTTCCCCCAGGGGAAGGGTGAGGCTCTTGGAAGGAGAAGCAGTTATGTTTTCAGCTGGGCAAACATGGACGGTTGCCCGTAGAAACTTTGCCACTGTACTTCAGAAAGTTGCCCAAGTCATTGGAGGGGAACAATGTGTTCCCTTTCTAGCCACCCTGGACTATCTGGGGAGGGAGGGGCGGAACGTTTCCTCTTGTGTTGAGGCTTGGTCTTGTGGCTTCAGTTTGTCTTGCAGGGGTTTTGTGGCGGTGGCTTGCAGTTTTTCAGCATGCCTCAGCTTTTGAAGCCCCAGATCCTTTTGATTTAGAAGTGGGAATGTCTTAGTTATTTGAGAAGTTCTCTGGTGTAATCTGGTCACTCTCAAACTCGAATCTACTTCCTGAGGGAGAACTTTGCCCCTGACTGATGGAAATTATGACAGTGTGCATCTTCAAGTCCAGCTTGGATCAGCTATTTTTACATCTTGGCCATTCTTTTAGGAAGCCGCCAGCCCTTTAAATCACATGGCTACCTTGTTTCATTCTACCAACTAAATGTGTGTGGAGGGGTTGTTGGTTTGATTTTTGCAGAAGTGGAGGAATCTTAAAGGGTTTTTTAAATTGATGCACCCTCTAGGGTGCAAGGAAAAGGGACACATACCCAGAAATCCTAGCAGCCAAGCCTTCCTAGGGCTGGATTTTACTTGGAGGTGTTATCTGTTCTGCAAATTTCCTGTGTCTGAACTTTTTTGTGTACTTTTATGTGTGTGTTTTGGGGGTTTTTCCCCTCTAGCATCTTAGTATGAAAAATAAAAAAATTCCTCTACCAATGATACCCTGTAAAAAATAGAGCTTAGTCCTCACAAGGTTAGATTCTAGCGTGAGGAAGTCTGTAAGGAGATGATTGTCTAGTATAAAACTGATCTCCCTGAAGGCAAATTAAATAAATATACTGTGCTGTTGAGTGTGTGACTTCCAAGGGGAGAGGCCACCACTCCCACCGTGACTTCTTAATTTAATTGTCTTTGTTGAGTCATTCCTGCAGAGGCTCTGTTTAAGAGTCGGTGTTCTTATTTTGTTTTGTTTTGTTTTTTGTTTTTCTCTCTCCAGAACATCTTCGACCATGGCCACCTCAGCGAGCTCCCACTTGAACAAAGGCATCAAGCAGGTGTACATGTCCCTGCCTCAGGGTGAGAAGGTCCAGGCTATGTACATCTGGATTGACGGTACCGGAGAAGGACTGCGCTGCAAGACCCGGACCCTGGACTGTGAGCCCAAGTGTATAGAAGGTGAGAGACTGGGCAGAGTGCCACGTGCATGCTGGGAGGGGAGCAGTGTAGTGGTGCGCAGAAGCCTGGGGCCAGACCACTAGGTTTGGCCTCTTTTTTATTCTGTTTGTGAAACTTTTCTAAGACAGGACTTTGCAGACTTCATTCCATGAACATTAAGCTTCTACACTGCCTCCAAGCATGACAACAATGGACCCTTTTGTTTAAATAGATTCTTGCCTATAAAGCCTGTATATTGAAGGAGAAAAGATTAAGTCTGGACTGGGAGAGAGGGGAGTTGAAGACTTTGCTGACTTGGGCACCCCTACTTAGTTGGCTCTAAGGTACCCCCAGGAACCCAGTTTGAAAACCACCATTCTAACTTGACTATGCCGTCTACTTTACAAACTCTTTGAATGCTGTTTCATACTCATGCCACTGAGGTTCTCGATACAAAGCAAAAGTGCTTTTAGTTAAGGCCACATTTGGTATTCTGTAACTGGCTGATTGCTGATCCCACAGGAGCTCTTAGGTGAGTTATGATTTCGTTTTGTTTTGTTTTTGTTTTTGGTCTAGAGCAAACCGTAGCCACCCTCCTCATGGTCCATCACCTTTTTCCTACTTTTAGGGTAGCTTACTCTTCTGATAATGTTCATATTTGAGTGAATGAATGAATGACTGTAATGTATTGTGCACCTGCTGTGGCACAGGTATTGGGCATCCCTGGAAATACGAGATGGGAGTCTGAAACTGGCCTTTAAAACATAACATGGAAAGTGGGTAAATGATACGGGAGTATCCTTGAATAAGATATCTTGCCAGTCATTTGTTTCCTCACCTATAAAATAAAGACCCGACTTGAGCTAGGATTGTCCATCAACACAGTGAGGGGATGAATTAAAGAAAGAAGCAACACAGAGGGCTACTGGGAGAAACCAGAGAATCTTTACTTCTGTTTCAAAGCTGAATGAAGACTGACGTACTGGTGATCTCCTTGGTGTCCAGTAGACTTTATTTAGGGAGGGAATGTTATTCTTAGATTGTTCCTGTGACTTCTTTTAAGAAAGTGATGCGGTAGGCTTACTTGGAACTCAGCTAGGAAGGACAGTAGGGCTGCATGCAGTTGTCTGGGTTTGCATATTAATGGTGGCAGTCATGCATCACTGCCTTTCTGGAAAAGAGAATATGGACTTTTGAAGATGGAAAGGTGGGTGAGGGGCTGTGCTCACGCCTGGAAAGCTCCTGTGCACTTTAACTTAAATTTTCCTCTCTCTTTTTGACCCCAGAGTTGCCTGAGTGGAACTTTGATGGCTCTAGTACCTTTCAATCTGAAGGCTCCAACAGTGACATGTATCTCGTCCCTGCTGCCATGTTTCGGGACCCTTTCCGCAAGGACCCCAACAAGCTGGTATTCTGTGAAGTCTTCAAGTACAACCGAAAGCCTGCAGGTGTGTGTAGGATGGGTATGGGTGCCCCCACCCCAGTCCATGAATTGTAAAGGCCAGGGGAGAGGATATTCCAGAATCAGTATTGGGAAGACCAGCCGATCTCAGAACTGCATCAGAAGTCTGAGGGATTGGGCACGCATCTCTCCATCCTCAACGTCCCTGTTCAGAGGTGGTGCGGCCCCTCCTGCCATCATCTCTTAATGAGTGCATAAAACAACACTGGATTCCTCTAGATCTGTTTGCGGGAGGAGCCCCCACGTCACAGCCCTCCTGCCTGCCTGCAGACTTAAGGAACGTGGATTCTGCAGTTAGAATGTTGGATTTGAATTCTAGGTCTGTCACTTACTTGCTGTGAACTTGTTTGGGGGCAAGTTCCTTTACCCTTGTACTTTTCAATTCCCCGATTTTAAAATGGGGGAAATAGTAAAATTCATCACATCAAGTTGTTTGAAGGATTGACTGGATTAACATGTGCAAATAATTGAGAACAATTGTATGTCGAATACTGGTTGTCTTTTCATTCCAGACAGCTTGAAAATACGAGCAACTGATAAACGTGTCTTTGCCTTAAAATTTGCTATAACTGCCCCTTTGGTTTTTCTCGTGCGTGCCAGTTCCTCCCAGTTCTCCGTCGTTCGTCTTTTTAAACAGCTGCAGTCTCACTTCTGTGAAATCTCTTGCTACACTCTGCCGGTGAGACTTCTTGGCAAGTCACTTGGTGACTCTGAGCCTTACGTGTCATCGTTTTGAGAGGAAGTATCGCATTGTGGTGAAGGGCCTGAGCTCTGAAGTCAAGACGAGCAGGGTTTCCTGACCGCTGCTTGTGCTGTCACCTGGGCGGGCTGCCTGCCATCTCCCAGCCTCGTGTTCCCATTTGTAAAAATAGACTCTTAATACCCACCTCACGGTTGTTAGGCAGACTCAGTTGTTCGTTTTCTTTAATATAATACCGTCTTAAAATGGTTCCTGGGGCGTAGGAACCTGTCCCAGTCTATAAGTTCTCTTCTAGTTTAGAAATCATTTGCAGTTGAGCTCATCACATTTTAATGTTTATTTTTGCACTAGCCAGTACTACAGAACTTAGCACTTTGTCTTCTGGAACGTAAGGCTCTTAGTAGACAAATGATGCTCAATAAAAACTGTAGATTGAGCTCTAAATGCCTGAGAAACCAGGACTAAGTCTGACAGCTAGAAGCTCTTGTGAATAGAGGATGTAAGTGCCTGACATTTGGTACTTGGGAGGGGGCCAGCTTGCAGATAAGGTGAAAAGTTGCTCTGTTCTGGGTCTGCTCCCATGTGACTTTGTTGTAACCCAGTTTAGTTATAAATAAAGCCTTTGAGAGTCTCCCTACAGATACATAATTATAGCTTCTCTCATTGTCCCCTCTTATACCAACGGGGCACAGGAAGGTTGACACTGGGTCATTTCAGCTTATAATCAACATCACAGGTGCGTGGAATCCAGGGACCATTTCCCATCCACACGGAGATTTGGTACATTTGTCCATACCTGTTTAACATCTGTGTGCTGACCCTTTTTTTTTTTTCCTAGAGACCAATTTAAGGCACACCTGTAAACGGATAATGGACATGGTGTGCAACCAGCGCCCCTGGTTTGGAATGGAGCAGGAATACACTCTAATGGGCACAGATGGGCACCCCTTTGGTTGGCCTTCCAATGGCTTCCCCGGGCCCCAAGGTAAGTCCCTTGGTGAGAGGTCAGTCTTGCTCCTCTCCAGGTGCTTAGTTTGCAAGAAAAGTCTCTCGAGAGAAGGGAGTGAATCCTTGTGGCTCAGAAAGCTAGGAGACTTTGTCAGCTCTGAGACTGGCTGAAATAAAACTGTAAAGAGATACAGCCCTTGTGTCATGCAAATCCAGAGGTGGCTGTTTAGACATTAACGTTGAGGGACAACCTTTGGCTTCACTGAGGATGTGGCCAAGAGGAGCCCCCTGCAGCCCCTCCCCTCCTTCCAGGTGAAGGCGCGGATCGCGATTCCAGGGAGCAGGTGTTGAGGGCTTTCTGGTTTCTGGCTTCAGGCTGTGCCTCTCACAGAGATAGGAATTTCCTCGGGGTCCCGCCTTTGACACCCCATCTTGGTGCCTCCGCATTTCCTCGGTCCCGCCTTTGACACCCCATCTTGGTGCCTCCGCAGGTCCCTACTA